GATGGAGGCGGGGGCCCGCCCAGGATAAGCCCCGCCCCCGCACTCTCCGGGCCCCGCCCCTTTCTCTCCAGGCTCCGCCCAGGATAGGCCCCGCCCTGACTCTAGGTCACCAGGGAACTTAACGCACGTGAGCTAGCCAAGATTCCGGGGGCGGGGTAACTTGTTTCACTTCTGGCTGGAGGAACACGGCCACGCACGTGACACACTTTTGATAAAGTTTAAAATTATGACCTAGTGTGTTTTGACTATCATGCTGTAACAATTAGAACGAATCTTGGGCTGGCCCTTAAATTTGCAAATTATGTCACTCAAGTAGGGAAATGAGATTTGAATTTTGCCTCTTCCCCCATCCCAATAAAATTTCATCACAAGGCCAGGATGCCGGGCGGCTGCGTACCTGCACTTTTAACTTTCCAAGTCAACAAACCGTGCTGAGTGCAAGTGTGCCAATGTGCGAGGCAGTGAGTTCCCAAACTTTACCTGCATCCCGCAGCACCTGGAGGGTGGTTAAGCCACACGCTGTTCCACCCCCAGCCCTCACAAGTTTCAGGTGATGCTGGTGCAACTGGTTCCGGGTCCAGGACAGGACTCACTGAGTGACCTCAATAGGAGTTTATTTCCTCATTGGGCAAAACCAACACAAATCTATGGTAAATATTGTAAAACAGAATTATCTGTCAGCTGGGACGTGGGGCTAATGGCCACTAATTATGTGACTAGTTAAGTTCAGTAATAATTTAACAGCGTCCTTATAACAAAGAGTAGGGGGTAGTGGCAATATGGTTGCCTCTAGGGACTCGTTTTAAAGCTGCATTTATACAGCAAACGTGTTTTTTATTCGTACTCAAGAGTGTATACTTTGGTGGAAGTGGGGAGTTGGAGAGGGTTGAATTTTCCTTAAGCCCCGTCCCAGAGCCCTTCAGTCTTGTCCGTTGAAGGAAAGGAACGGGCTAGTCTTCAGTGTTTCCCACGCTACCTCGATTGTAAAAACCCGGTGGGGGAACTTCTGAAAAACACACCTTCCCAGATAATGCTGATCCAGCAGGTTTAGGGTGATGACAAGGAATTTTTTTTAACAAGAGACGCCAAGTGATGCTTATGCTCAGAGACATTTGAGAAAGATCTGTGAACCTGACATCATTCACACGTAAAGAATTTACGAGAAAAGGCAAGACTTTGAAGATGTGAGTAATTTGGGGTGAAAAAAAATGGTCTTACAAAGGTCTACCCTTTTTAAAAAGTAAAAGCACAATTTGGAATACGATAGGAACTTTTCCCGGATTTAAGATGTCGGTGAGAGAGATGTTCTGCAACTTGGCCAGCAGGAGGGGCAATAAAACAGGAAATAGCTCTTTGCAGCCTCAAACGCAGGGGAGAAAAATGCGGAGACGTTAGAGGGTAGAAGTAACCGTTTCCCTCCGTGTTTATTTTCTCTACAAGCCTAAACTCGTAACTGCTCAAGGTACAGTGCTTGTGTGAAACATCGCAGGGGTGTCTTGGGGTAGAGCATCGATGAAATCTTGGTTTCTAAAGACACATAAAGTTGTGACACAGCAAAACGTAGTTAATTCTTGTACCCTCATGGTGCAAACAGTTCACCTCGCAAAGCTCATTTAGAATTTAGAGGAGCTACAGAGAGGAGCTAGGGAAACACGGTATGTTAAAAGTTTCCATACTGATGGCAGGACCCGGAGCGTAGCCGTGTCAGTGACTGGATGCACCTAGAGTCTCACTCTGGAAACTGAGAGATGAATGGGTGTCCGATCCTCCTTCCAGCAGTGGGTGCAGACGGGGAAGGGCGGGCAGAAAGCGAGCAGAGTGCTTGGAGGGGAATGAGGCCACCGAAGTCTCAAAGGATGTGTGGAGTTTGCAGGGGGCCGTGGGTGAAGCGCGGTGGTCCCAGCAGGTGGTAAGGTCAAGTGATTCGGTGCAGCAGCGGAGTGGCCGGGACATGTAAGAGTGGCAGGTGACGACAATGGCAAGGGCAGATCATCTGCCCAATTAAGATCACATCATCCCTCGTTCTCATTAGCAAAATGTACCACAGCAGAATTTTCCCATGCCTCATCACTTATCCGGTGAATAAGGTTTTGCGTTCATTAAAGTAAATAAAACCAAAGTGACTGTAACTTTATCTACCTGTAACTCGGGTTTACAGACCCCCATTCTTAGAGCGACACGAAGATTTATTGTGCACCTGATGGCGATAGCGTTCGGCATTTTACGTAAACCATCTCGTTT